CACACCAGTTAGAATGGCGATCATTAAAAAGTCAGGAAACAACAGGTGCTGGAGAGGGTGTGGAGAAATAGGAACACTTTTACACTGTTGGTGGGATTGTAAACTAGTTCAACCATTATGGAAAACAGTATGGCGATTCCTCAAGGATCTAGAACTAGATGTACCATATGACCCAGCCATCCCATTACTGGGTATATACCCAAAGAATTATAAATTATGCTGCTATAAAGACACATGCACACGTATGTTTATTGCAGCACTATTCACAATAGCAAAGACTTGGAATCAACCCAAATGTCCATCAGTGACAGATTGGATTAAGAAAATGTGGCACATATACACCATGGAATACTATGCAGCCATAAAAAAGGATGAGTTTGTGTCCTTTGTAGGGACATGGATGCAGCTGGAAACCATCATTCTTAGCAAACTATCACAAGAACAGAAAACCAAACACCGCATGTTCTCACTCACAGGTGGGAACTGAACAATGAGATCACTTGGACTCAGGAAGGGGAACATCACACACCGGGGCCTATCATGGGGAGGGGGGAGGGGGGAGGGATTGCACTGGGAGTTATACCTGATGTAAATGACGAGTTGATGGGTGCTGACGAGTTGATGGGTGCAGCACAGCAACATGGCACAAGTATACATATGTAACAAACCTGCACGTTATGCACATGTACCCTACAACTTAAAGCATAATAATAATAAATAAATTTAAAAAAAAAGAATAAGAGGTAATGTAGGTAGAGAGAGGGTTGCACAGTGCTTAGCAAACTATAAGTTTGCAGCAAATGGCACCTATGTTATTTTCACCTCACATTTTCCACACATATTCTTGTTCATCTTCAACCATCTTTCCACTTCTGCAGCATTCTCTTTTGTAATAGGTGCACTTTGTGTGCATCTCCCGTCTCACATGCACGATGCACTGGCAGAAGCACAGGATGGTGGCACACACTTCCTAATAGTCCCTGAGTCCTCCACATCTTCCTGTGTCCACTACCAAGTGCTGAGCCCACATCTCCTACATTCCTCAGCTGCTGACTTCTCATCCCAGTTCATCTTTCCCATGTCAGACACTTTAAATCCACCCTGCCACCTGGGCGCGGTGGCTCATGCCTATAATCCCTGCACTTTGGGAGGCAGAGGCGAGCGGATCACTTGAGGTCAGGAGTTCGAGACCAGCCTGGCCAACATGGGGAAACCCCATCTCGACTGAAAATACAAAAATTAGCCGGGCATGGTAGTGCATGCTTGTCATTCCAGCTATTCAGGAGACTGAAGCAGGAGAATCACTTGAACCTGGGAGGTGGAGGTTGCAGTGAGCTGAGATCGTGCCACTGCACCCCAGCCTGGGGGACAGAGTGAGACTCCGTCTCAAAAAAAAAAAAAAAAAAAAATCCACCCTGCTGACAAATTAATTTTCTTAAGTCCCTGCTTCCATTGCATTTCTCTCCTGCTCAAAACTCTCTGTGAGAGCTCCATTTCCTGCAGGTTGGGGGCAAACTCTTACTCAGGCATTCAAAGCCTTCCACAAATGGCCAGAGTCAGTCCTCCCTCTTCATCCCCATCACCTTCCCCTTGTCACCACCCTGCCCCCTGCACCACCCTCTCCCTTCTCCTTCCAGCAGGAAGAGGCTGGAGCTGAAGTCCCAGCTTCATCACTTTTACCCTTACTGGATCCCTCAGCCTCCTTCTCCTCTGTCAGGTAGGGTGATGAGTTTACCCAGTACACTGTGAGTTCTTGAGGGCAGGGGTCCAGTTAGGTTCCTGAATGAGTCTCTACAGAGACTCCAGAGTTGCACCCCAACCTCATCCTCCCGAAAGGAGGCTCCAGGCAACACTCTGTGCCCCTAGCTGGCTGTCCATCCCTTGCGAGTAGAGGAACAGCTTTGCTTCTCTGGATCTCCCACAGGGCCTCTGGAGCTCTGTGCCAGGGACATAGTAGGGTAGTTAGCGAGTTGCCTGATCTTGAATCCGTGGTTTTCACACTTTAGTGAGCCTTATCATTCCTTGGAGGGCAGGGGGGAAGCTTGTTGAGAAATGCAGATGCCGGATCATCCTTTAGACATTCCGTAGATCTCAGGTGAGACCCCACATTTTTAACAATGCCACAGGTGATGAGACAGGTGGTCAGAGGAGACACTTGAGGTTTGGTGTACTTCTTTGAATGCCCACAGGCCACCTACTGTGTATAAGGCACTGTGCAAGGGGCTCAAGGGATGAAGGTGAATGAGATGCCACCTGGGACCTCACATCGGTGGCAGTGGTTATGATGAGGAGAAGGAAAACGAGGCAGAGTTAGTTTCAGAAATCAGCACGTGGACTCAGGCTTCAGCCTTGGATCTGAAGCACAAAGGTGTGGGCGAGAGCAAAGGCGAGACCTGGAAACTGTAGGAGCCAGCGAGTTGGGCAGGGAAGGGCCTGAAACCAATGAGATGCAGCCTGGGACCTCACGTTGGTGGCAGTGGTTAAGACGAGGAGGAGGAAAACGAGGCAGGGTCAGTTTCAGAATTCAGCACGTGGACTCAGTTCAGAGTGGGAGGCAAAATAAAAAGCAAGGCAGCCTCAAAGAGCAGGAACTGACAGAATGGAAAGTGAGGAATGTGAAAATGGTCACCAGTCGTTTGGTCAATTTCCCAAATGCCCTGCTTTCTGGTCTGGGCCTGCTTTTAACAGGTCATCTACACCTGGGAGGCAGTGCAGTGGGGCATGGCATTGGCATCTGACTGTGGTGGGTTCAATGCCTGCCTGTGATTGTGACCTTGGACAAGATGCTTAGTTCCTGAGAGGTATTAGTTAGGGCTCTCCAGAGAGACAGAACAAGTAGGATATGTGGAAGGGTTTTTTTTTTTTTTTTTTTTTTGAGATGGAGTTTCACTCTTGTTGCCCAAGCTGGCCAAGCTGGAGTGCAATGGCACCATCTTGGCTCACTGCAACCTCTGCCTCCTGGGTTCAAGCAATTCTCCTGCCTCAGCCTCCTGAGAAGCTGGGATTACAGGTGCCCACTACCATGCCCGGCTTTTTTTGTATTTTTTAGTGGAGATGGGATTTCACCATGTTGGCCAGGCTGGTCTCAAATTCCTAACCTCAGGTGATCTGCCCACCTCAGCCTCCCAAAGTGCTGGGATTACAGGCATGAGCCACTGCACCCAGTCCTGGAAGGGTGTTTATGAGGGGAAGTTGGCTCACGTGATCACAGAGGTGGAGAAGTCCCACGATAGGTTGACTGCGAGTTGCAAAGCCAGAGAAGCTAGTAGCTGGCTCAAGCGGGCAGCGTGGCTCAATCCAAGTCTGAAACCTCAGAACCAGGGAAGCCAACAGTGCAGCCCCCAGTCAGTCCTGAGAGACCCCCAGGAGGCCTCTGGGGTAAGTTCCAAAGTTCAAAAGCTGAAGAACCTGCAGTGTGATATCTAAAGGCAGGAGAAGAAAAAGCGTCTCACTCTGGAAGGAGGAAAGGAAGCAGAGAGGACATTCCCCTTCCTCTACCTGTTTGTTTCTGCTGGGCCCCCGGCTGATTGGATGGCGCCCACCCACACTGAGAGCAAGTCTTCCTCTCTTGGTCCACTGGCTCACACATCAGTCCCCTCTGGAAACAGTCTGACAGACACACTCAGAAATAGTGCCCCACCAGCCATCTAGGAACCCCTCAATCCTGTCAAGTTGACATCTAAAATTAACCATCACACCGAATCACTCTCTGTGTGTGTAAGAGTGTAGTAAGCCAAACGGTGGCCTCTAAAGATGTCCACATCCATATCCCCAAACCTGTGAATATGCTACCTGATGTAGTAAAACGCATTTTGCAGATGTGATTAAATTAAATGGATGGGGAGAGTATCCTGGATTACCCAAGTGGGTTTTGAATGCTATCACAAGGGTCCTTACCACAGGGAGGCAGTGAGAAGATATAAAGACAGAAGCAGAGGTCAGGGAGAAGGTGCTACGCTGCTAGTGGTGATGATGGAGGAAGGGTCCACAAGCCAAGGAATGTAGGTGGCCTCTAGAAGCTGGAAAAGGCAAGGAAGTAGATTTTCCCCTGGAGCCTCCAGAAGGACTCATCCCTGAGGACCCATTGCAGACTCTTCTAACCTCCAGAACTATAAAAAAATAAATTTGTGTGGCTTTTAACCATGAGGTTTAGGTAACTTGTTACTGACACCGTAGGGAACTATGACAGACACAGAGAATGCTAATTCTCTTCACGGTTGTCATCAGGAGGGCTCAGAGCCCATGTAGGAAAGGGGCCTAACTCAGTAAAAGTAGTGATATTACCCATAGGGGCTGAGTCTTAGACAAGGTGAAGAATGTGACTGCACCCACCACGTTGCTTGACACCTTGTGGATGCTCAACAGAGCTTAGGCTCACTGTCCCTCCCCTTACAGGTCACGGTGTCTAGGGGAACCCCATCAGGGAGGGGCTCTGGGAAACCTGTCCTAGTCTGCACCCTCTACACTGTGCAGGCACCTAGGCTCTTGGCTCCTGTCCCTCAGTGATCAGCATGTGTACCAGGTGGTCATTTCCTGGCCCTTCACCTCTCCTGAATTTACCTCTGAGGTTGCTTCTCTGTTAACTCAGACACACCAGCTCCCACCTCAGAACTCTTTGGCCCTTGGAATCTTTGCCACATAAAGTTGCCCTTTCCAACTGCCTGCTGTCCTTGCAAGTGGCTTCCCTGTTGCTCCTTCCCAGAAAGGACTGCTTGTCATGTGATTTCCTTGTCTCCCCGAAAGGTTCCAAGACTATATGGGGCCCCTGGCAGCCCCGTGCCATACCTGCTCCAGATGGCCCATGGACCTCTCCAGTATGGAGACGAGAGGTGGACCAGGGTCTGGGCAGTGGTGTCACTCAGAGGATAGGGTGCCAGACATAGGTGGCTCTTCTCTGAGCTCTCGGAGGGTGGACAGCTGGGCCCCAGGCCGGCAATGAGCACACAGACTCCTTTGTCTCCCAGCACCCTCAGAAGGCTGTCCCCTCTGGCCTCTCACAGGGACATTCGTCTCGGCCTTCACTGTGCTGTGCGGGGCCCGCACCGACCTCCCGGACAGGCATGTGTGCTGCGTCTTCTGGCTGAACATTGCAGCAGCCCTCATCCAAATCCTCACGGCCATCGTCATGGTGGGCTGGATCATGAGCATCTTCTGGGGCATGGACATGGTCATCCTTGCCAGTGAGTAGCTGCTGGTGCTGCGCCTCCTGGGGGTGGGGGAGTGACCAGGGACAGGAAGGACTTGGGAGGCCTTCATGGCTGGCTGAGGTCCTGCTCACCCACTAAGGACGGGCTCTGGAGAGGGCTTGCCTGTGCCCTCTTCACAACTCCCCGGGCTGCTTGGCACAAGGGACCCTCCCCACCAGGCCTGGCCCAACACCTGCAGGGAATGATGAGTTCATGGCAGGCAGAGTTCCATCATTTAATACAAACTTGATTCAGACACAGAATGGTTTTGTGAAAGGGTTTAAAGTTACAAAATCAAGTTTACCAAAGACAACTCAGTTACCCTTTCTAAAATAACCTAGCAAAATCTTAAAACAGACTCCACCCATTTTAAGCAGCTGTACTTGTCTCCCATACCACCATCCACGTTCCTTGTATTTTCCCACGCCTATCTACCTGTGAGGGCACAGTTCCTCAATAATTGACCTCACCTCTCAGGCACTTTGGCCTCACTCCATACCCCATGCCCCTCATTATGTCCTATACCCCCCAAAACCATTCATAGCTGGGATCTTCAGTGCCAGAGGTAAGCTGAGCCTGGTGAGGGTGGCAGAGGCAGGAGGGGAAACTCAGGGTTCAGGGGCCCTAGAATTATGTAGAATGATCTATAGTCAACTCAGCCTCAGTTCAGGATCCTGTGAATATCCAAGACCAAGAGCACACATAAATGGCAGGACAAGGGTCAGTGACCAGTTAGGCCACCAGACCAGAGAAGATGCAGGCAGACACAGAGCCTGAGGGAGATGCAGTGGAGTGTGGTCAGATGGGCTGCCCAGAAGTGGCTCCTCCAGCAGCAGAGATCGGGGAGGAAGTGGGTCAGCTGCACTGCCAGGATCTCCCAGAATCAGAGCAAGCCAGCCAGATGCTGGCAACCAGGGGCAGCCAGAGCAGGGGAACTCCAGGCTGGACCAGCGGCTGAGCAGCAAGCTGCCCCAGGGAGGAATGAGCTGGGAAGTGGCAGGGAAGCTGCTCCTTCTTCCTGGGAGGGATGTGCTCAGGGCAGGGGTTGCCCTGTCAGAGAAATATTGTGAGGTAAGCCCAGCAGGCAGGCCCTTGCATCTCCTTCATGGGATCTCACCCTCCAGGCATGTCCAGGGGCCACTTTCATTTGTCTAGAGAGATGAAGAACATGACTGATAGGAAGGAAGTGCTGCCAGCCCTTGGGTGAGTCCTAAAACTGGGTCCCGACAATTCTACAGAGGAAATTTGCCGCTTCCCCAGGGGCCTGTGGTCTGCAGGCTCCTAACCCTGTTCCCAACTGGAAGCTGGGAGGTGCTTCTGCCTTTGGAAGGTTGAAGGCTGCCCAATTTGTGCAAGATGAACCCCTCTTACTGGCTCATCTTCTCTCAAACTGAGCATCTGGCCAGGCACTGGGGACCTGAGTAAGGAACCTCTGCATTAAAGCGGAACGTGACTGTGTCACAGGGTAGGTCTCAATAATGTATGTTGATGCCTCATCTGATCTCTAGAGCTTTCTGGTACACTTGTCTTTGATCTCCTTAGTACCCAGGAACCAAGAGGTTGGAACCTTAGAGATAACTTAAAGAGCTCCCTTCATCATGCGCTAGACGAGGCATTGAGGCCCTAGAAGTGCAGATGGGGATCCAGTCACTTCCTCACTTTCCATTGCCCCAGGCTGCTGACTTGGCCAGAAACTCCTCTGCTGTGGCTGGTGTGGGGCGCTAACTGGGCTGCAGGATAAGCAAGTGCAAGAAGCTGCAGCCCCCATCTTTGCCACGCAGCCTTCACTGGGGGTCAGTGTCAGCCCCTTTGTTGTCTGCACACTGTTTCCAGGGCTGCTGTCTTTGCATCAAACTTTTGAGAATGCTTTTAGGGGTGTATTAGTCCATTTTCACACTGCTGATAAAGACATACCCAAGACTGGGAAAAAAAAGAGGTTTAATGCACTTATAGTTCCACATGGCTGGGGAAGCCTCACAATCATGGCAGAAGGCAAGGAGGAGCAAGTCACATCTTATGTGGATGGCAGCAGGCAAAGAGAGTTTGTGCCAGGAAACTCCCATTTTTAAAACCATCAGATCTTGTGAGACTCATTCAGTATCACAAGAACAGCACAGGAAAGACCCATCCCCATAATTCAATCATCTCCCACCCAGTTCCTCCAACAACACATGGGAATCATGGAAGTTACAATTCAAGATGAGATTTGGGTGGGGACACAGCCAAACCATATCAGGGGTATAGACTTGAGGGCTGCATACAAAAACCAGTCACACCTCATTCTTGCCCACTGCCTGACTCCCAGACTCATTCACCCATCTCAGCAAGGGAAGCCTTTGCATTTTTTTTCCCACAACTAATCCCACCCCCAAAGGGTGAATAGTTGCCACTCATAAGATGGTGCTGCAGGTGGGATTACTCCCAGCAACCATGGAACTTGTGTGTCCGAGAATGAATCCTTTGAAGGGAATAAGTACAATGGACTTTCCTATCCTAGAAGACAGTTGGATAAGGGACTCTTCTTTCTGGTGTCACTCCAGCCCCTTGCTATAAAAATGGAGGAAACTTTTCAGTTGTAACAATACACCTTGGTTTTTCACATGGCATTGCCTGGGGTGTCATCAGCAAATACACCATCATGAAAAACTCCTAAAGGGGGAGTCAGAGAAATCTAGATGAAAGTGGGAGCTAAGATCAGGAACTTGCAAGCATGTTGCTTGATTTATATGAATAACAACAAATAACAATCAACAACACCCTGTCAGTAAATACTTGGTAGCTTTATGGTGGGCTCTTTCTACTGCCATGCCCATGGCAGACATTGCTAATCAATCATGACACTTTCTGCTGACCAATCTCACATGTTCTCAGCACAGGGCTTCAGGCAGTCACTACTAATTGATCCAAGAGGTCTGAAAGATAAAACCTGTTTGCCACCCTCTGGCCTGGGTCTTCCCCAAAATATTTTTATATATGTGGCTCCTCTCCATAGAAACAGCTAAGCACATAGCTCAGACAGAGCCAGTGTGGGACCAGGATGGGACACACTGGCATCTTTAGATTGCTGTAGTCAAAGCTCTAGCTGTCCAGGAGCTGCCACTCATGTCCATCTGGAATTTATCTGGAGAAAGGCATGAGCTGAGGATGGAAAAAAAAAAGGGCTGGGTGCTGTGGCTCATGCCTATATCTCAGCATGTTGGGAGACTGAGGCAGGAGGATCACTTGAGACCAGGAGTTTGAGGCTGCAGTGAGACATGATCATGCCACTATACTCCAGCTGGGCAACAGAGCAAGATTCTGTTTCAAAAGAAGACAAGAATAAAGAATGAAGGCAGCAGTGTGGGCATGGCCAGGATATGGAGGGCTGGGGAGGCAGTGGACAGAGCTCACTGGCAGTGTGAGAGCCCCTCGCTGTGCCCCTAGCTATGCCCACACACCTGGTGGGCAGACTGCTGGTCACTGTGGCTGTCACCGTGAGCACTGCGCACTCCCTGCCTAGGGATTGGCATCTGAGAAACCGCTGGCATGGCCCCTGTCCCATCTCCCGGGCCTCACCATGGATCCGCTTTGTTTCCTGTGCGGAGTGTTCCCTATGGCTCTGTTTTCAGGCTGTGTTTTCTCTTCTTCTCTCTCTCTTCCTCCTGCTGCCTCCCACTCTGTGCTGCTGCAGTTTCCCAAGGTGAGTCTGTGGATGGACGTGCAGGCCTCGTGCTGCTGCTTGGGGCCCTCCCCTCCCCTGACACCCCCAGTCCTACACACAAACACCCCACCCACTCTCCCAGTGGGTCAATGGGCTTTTATGTTTAGCTTTAACTTTTGATTTGGAAAATGATTAAACATAGAGAAAAGTAGAGCCCCTAGTAAAATGAGGCCCTAATGCCCACACCAGCCTCAACCACTATCAATTTATGGCCAGCCTCTTTTCCTCTGTCATTCCCTACATCTTCCTTACCACAGCATGGGTTTATTAGCACCCAAAATTGAGAAATACTCTGCAAAATGAAGAGAAAAAGCAGCTCAATACACTGAAGCTCCTCTTCAGACTAAGTTCACTGGCTAACAGGAATAACCACTCAGCAAATTCTGCTCATGTAATAGCAGCTGGGAATATTTCAGTAGGTATCTTTTTTTTTTTTAAATCTTTTGAGACAGAGTCTTGCTGTGTCTCCCAGGCTGGAGTACAGTGGCGCGATCTCGGCTCACTGCAACCTCCACCTCCTGGGTTCAAGTGATTCTCCTGCCTCAGCCTCCCGAGTAGCTGGGACTACAGGCACGTGCCACCATGCCCGGCTAATTTTTTGTATTTTTAGTAAGGTGGGGTTTCACCATGTTAGCCAGGATGGTCTCGATCTCCTGACATAGTGATCTGCCCGCCTCGGCCTCCCAAAGGGTATCTTCTTAAAAAAACAAACACAATACCCTTTCACACCTAAATAAAGCAGTAACAATTCCTTACTATTCGCAGAGCTCACTTTTTCCCTAAGGACTCATGATCAATATTTTAAAGGTTTAGCCTTCAGGCGCCTTTTCCTGCTGTAATGCTCCAGCAGGTCGGAAGCATACAGGGATAGCTGCTCCCCTCTGTATGCTATCTTTCTCCTTTCTTCCTCCTCTCCATCCACCCATAGCAGATTCTTAACCCTCAAGGAAGCCTGCCTGGCACCTGCTCCCAAGGCTCTGCATTGGGAAATCACACCAGACCAGTCTATGAGTGGCTTCCAGATGTGGGTTCAGGAGCACGCCGTTAGCCTTTTAACTCCCGCCCCAAATGCCAGCCCGACAAACATTCCCAGTAGACCCAGTACTCCACACTTCCTGATTATTTTATTTCTCATTAGAAAGTCAAAGCCCTTGGGAAAAGCTGTGCTCTGATGGTAGCAGTCATTTATACCTTAGTATAAACAAGGCCTCCTGTGTGCATTCTGGGCTAGGGGCACCTCCTGGAGAAATCCTGAAGGAAGCAGGTGTCTAACCATCTCTCCTTTGCTTCTTCCTCACAGGCTACAAGGAGCAGGGCATCCCACAGCAGCTGTGAGCCCACGGGAGCCGCTGGGGAGATCCAGGGGGGCCCTGTGAGGGCTGCACCAGGCAGCTTTGGGCACAAGGACCTTTACATGTTCTCTTCTGCCATTTTCTGGACTGGGGGTGGAAAGGGGGTATTTTTAAAAATATTATTTATTTTGAAAACGCATCTGCTTTTCTCAGCAGGTTGTGAGGCCTGCCAGCCCCTCCCGCTCCGGAAAGCACTGTGGGCGCAGGCACCAGAGCATCAGAGAGCGGGGTGGAGATGAGAACGCCCACAGAGAGGCTGGGATGCTCCAGCAGGCTCCAACCGGCCTTGCTGTACCCACTGCCCACTGCAAGGGCACGCCACAGCAGCTGGGCCGGGCCACACCAGGCCCTGTCTGGGTGAGCAGGGGCTCACCAAGGGGACAGGACCGTGGTAGACCCGTCCTCTGGGACCCCACCCGCCTCAAAATCTGGTGCCCTCAAATCTGAGTGTTTACCGTGTGGTCTCCTGGGGGCAGCACCAGGGTGGGGGTAAGGATGGCCAGGCTCCACTCTAGCGTGGAAAGGCCCACTGTGCCCAGAGCCGGCCTGAGACCAGTCCCACAGGCGTCTCCTGGGCCTGCCTCTCTGACAGCACCCCTGCCTCCTCACAGCTGAAATCTAAGGGCTGGGTGTGTCGTGACCTGTGTTTTCCTGGGAAGGAGAGGCGTGGCTCCTTCCCTGGGGTGAAACTGCCAGAACTGCCAGATGTTTATATACAAAATTATTAGACCGAAGCAGGAGTGGGCAGACTAGCAGTCTTTCGCCCAATACTTAAAAGCATTTCTGGCCCACATTCCTTTTTCTGAAGTCATTGGGGCCAGATGTGTCTCTCAATTGAGAAATTTTAGATTTGAGAAAGACAATACGATCCATTTATCGTACGCTTTCTAACTTCCCGGCAGAGTGTGGAACATCCCGCCTACCATCAGGCACGTGAATATTTCTGCGGAGAAACATGTGACTAGTCCCATCAATTGGGATCTATACAAACTGTAAATAGCCTCACCTCAGTTCAGTCTAATTTTGCCACTAAGTAACTTAGGGAAAAACTTACCATTTGAGAGCTTTTGGGGTTTCAGAATTGCAAGAACAGTTGTATGAGGTTGTGGACCTGGATCTGCAAACAGATGCGTTAGGAGGGTGAAATTGTCGGCATTACACAGGGACTCCTTCGGTTGCCAAGGGACCACAGGCCTCTTTAAGGAGCCCCTCTGTAAGTGATTGGGACAGGGCTAGATCCCTAATGGGGCCGGGAGTGGGGAGAATCTAGCAGAAGTTGTCCAGACTACTGTGGATCAAGTCTCAATCAAGAGAAATCATATTAAGAGGATGGACACTTACATATCTGTTTCCTTTCCTTTCCTTTTCATTCTAACATAGGAAATGCTAACAGGTGGAGCTGGCCCAAAGTCAAGCTTCTGACTCCACTTGACACAGTGCCATTGGGCGTGTCCCTCTTTGAAGGGCTTGTTTGTCTCTCAGAGACTCTGTCAGAACTCCCTGAGGGCGGGAGAAGGGATTTTGCTAGATCAAAGTGCTTGGGAAGCAGTGGCCACCATTCTGGGGGTTTCAGCCCACCTAACCCATCCACTGGGCTTTCTAATCACAGTCCTGCCTGAGGAGCGGGCCCTGCCACCCACCCCTCAGCATGGATCCCTTAGCTACTATCCGTCTTCCATTGCCACCTGGGGCTGGGCTGCTGTTTTTGAACACCTGGCAGTGTCTGTCGTGTCCTGTCCTCTCTTCTTACAGACCCCAACCCAGGCCTTTGCCTTCTTCTCTCCTGTTTGGAAGCCTCTGTGTCTTCAAGGTGTGGGATCAGATGTGGTTTTCTCTAAAAAGCTAGAACCTTCTGCTGTGTGCAGCGGGCATCCTCCAGGCTGGTGCTCGCTGCTCTTGAGGAAGCTGTGTCAGAACGGAGCCGCCCCTCTACTCAGATAAAATAGCTTCAGCTGCAGGAAGCCGCCCCCTCCCATGTCCACCAGCCCACAGCCCTTCACCCCACACCGCCCCCAGAGTTTGCCCGACACCCCCTGAGTGATGACAGGTCTCAGGAGGGGCCGCCCCCACACATGGGAAGGAGCAGCTTATTTTCCCGGCTTGGGCTGGGGGCGGCTGCTGAGGGGGTGAAGAAGAGATAGCAATTTATGTCGCATGTTTAGTGACACAATCCAGACGCAGGTGGGACTTTCTTGAGTGGCAGGTGTCACCCTGGGTCCCGTGTGGGATGGCTTAATACAAGGGTTTGTTTGTGTGCGTGGAGGGCCATTGTGCCCCCAGATCCTCCTGTCCCCTGAGGGCTGTGTCTCTAAACCTGGGAACACATCAGCCTCAGGAGGAGGCCCCTTTCCGCATAACTGATGTGTAGGAGAAGCCAAGAGGCCCCTGCCTGTCTCCTGAATGAAGCTGTGAGGGTTGCCACGTGGGCGGGACCAGTTCAGAATAGCGCCCCCGCCCCTCTAAATTAGACTGTGGTCTCCAGCATGATCATCTTCAGTAGGTAAGGGACAGTGGCTGATTTACTCCAAGTAGTTCCAGCTGGCCACTCAGACCAGGGCCAGAGTTAACTTCTCAAGCACCAGCCAGCTGAAAATTAGGGTTCTCATGCCAGCAAGTGCTTGGTTGACACACAGTCCTTTGGTGACAAAGTTGGGCTTTGCCTGGATAGTGCAGACAAGGCTGCTGGTTCAGAAGCTGCAGGGCACATTCCAGGTTGGGGCCTTTTGTCCGTTGGAATTCAATAGGACGCTCCCTGGCTGTGGGTGTTTAGGGCAGGAATCACAGGCCTGCAGAGAACATCAGAGGCAATGAGATGCTCCCAGTACCCAACTGTGACACGGGGATCAGGGTGGCCATTCCCTTGGGTCAGAGTGGGAACCTAAAGCCAGAGTGAGCTGTGGGTAGCCTGGGTGTGTCCTGCGGATGGTGGAGACTGTTGATTTGGATGTTAAGCTCTGAGTCAGTTTTAGAACCAAGGACCTCAGGCTGAGAAGGCCAGGTCCCCATGGGAGTGGCAGGATTCTGATGGCTCCTGGCTGTGGTCCCGGCCCCCGGCCCACGCCTAACGCTGGGGTTGCAGAGCTCTGCTGCCAGCGCCCACTCCAGCCGGCCACGCCACTGGCCCTGCTATGGTAAGGAAGGGGCAGGCAGCATGGTTCCCACCCTCAGTTGCCCCAGACCCACACATCCAGCCCCAAGAGCAGCCTCACCCAGGCACGGTGCAGGGCATTTTAGCTTCTGGGAGGGGAGATGCCTTTGTGAGTTTCACATGTCAGAGCAGAAGCTCCAGGAGAGAATAAGTCGTGTGCCCCAAAACACTCGGCTCCTAAGTGGCAGGACGGGCAAGTGGCCAGGTTGGGCCGCCCTCACAGCCTGTGCCATCCACACACTCGTTACAGCACTCCCAGAAGAAGGAGCAGAATTGCAGGCAGCCCAGAGCAGTCCTGTGGAGGGGTCCTTGCCCCTCAGGAGTGATAGGGTGATTATGTCACATGTTTAGTGACATAATCCCACCTGCATCTGGATTGTGTCACTAAACATGCGACGTAAATTACCATCTCTTCTCCATCCCCTCAGCAGCCGCCCCTACCCCAAGCCAGGAAAATAAGCTTCTCCCTCCCATCTGTGGGGGCGGCCCCCTCCTGAGACCTGTCATCACTCAGGGGGAGTTGGGCAAAACCTCCTGGGAAGGTCTCCACCCTGCCCCACAAGGCTCCATACTCCCACCTGCCTGGGCAGCCCTCACACCCATGCTCCCTCCTTTAGGCAGGCCCAGAAGGGTGCCGCTTCCTGAGGGTGTCGGGGAATGGTGGCAGAGAGAGAGCTGGTAGTAGGAGCTTCCCCATCCTAATGCGGAGGGGCAAGTTGCCCACTCTCCCAGCCCGGGGCTCCAGCCATGCTGGCACAGGCATCTCAGAGGTGTGAGATGAACTCCGCCTCATGCAGGACGCTCAGGGCTTGGGAGCAGTAAGGAGGATGCTGCAAAAAGGAACTGCAGAAAGAAAAAAAAGCCGCATGGTTAACTTTTCCCCAGGAGGGCAAAGGGGCCCGGCTCTCAAAAAGAAAAGCCAGGCACAGACCCCAACACCAAGTGCAAGGCAGCGCAAAGCGGGGCTGAAACCTCAGGACCGGGGTCAAAGGCTTTCCGAAGGCCCGAGGTCCTTGAGGAGGAGGGGAAGCTAAGAGGGCCTTGGTCCTTCTGCACCAGTGTGGCTCTTTAAAATACAAAACACCCCTGAAGCCAAAAACCCTGAAACCTGTTCTTTAGCTAACCCCTTCCCTGCCCAGAGGCCTGCAATTCCGAGAATTCACTTCAGTTTTGCCAGGATCCAACCCCTGGGCCTGAGGGTGGAGAGCCCGGCCTCCTCAGAGTCCCTTCTAGGCTCCTGCGCCCACTTTAGGTTTTAATTGCATTGGCTGTTTCTTATGGTGTTAGTGAATTTTGCAAAGAAAGCCCAGAGCATTGCACAAATGTTTGGGGTCAGTGTCATTTAAATGGAAGTTCCCCAATAGTGGCTGAAAGCAGAGTTTACTGTTATTCCTCCCTCTTGCTGGCTTTGTTGGAGAGTTTTTACTGGAGGGATTGGAAGTGGGAGAGCACTTTTAAAGTGCACCCCACCCCCTGCACCCCAGCTGCACCTAAGCTCCCCAGAGACCATGACCTTGTATGTGGCTGGAGGCCTCCGGCTTAGGGTGCAGCCTGAGGCCTTTGCTGCCAACCCTCCCAGGAAAGAAGCCGGGCCTCAGGCTGAAGAAATACAGGGTTTCCTCTCCAGAGGGTTCAGTGAGCACTCAGGTAGTGGCCTCGGGCAGTCCTTACCAGGGGAACACCTCTATGCTTTGCATTAATTCGTCAGCAAGCGCTCAGTGAGAGCTAAAGTGGGCCTGGTGGTCCTGTGCTTGGAAAGGATGCCCTCACCTCCACAATCCTGCCGTCCCAGCCTCCACAGGTGAAGCTGCAAGGTGAGCAGAGGCAGGTGTGGGGACGTACTCTTCCAGGACAGGACTGCCCCTTCTGCCTCCAGAGACCTCTGTGCACTGGGTTTAGGGATGAGATGCCAGCCTAGTCAGGGGAGGTGACTGTGGTCCTTCTGACTGGCTTGGATCTTTAAAATAATCACAAAAAAGCTCAGCCTGAGCAGATGGGTGTGAGGCTCAGGGGCTTGTGGTTTTCATCAGTTTTCTTCCCGCAAGATTCTTAGAGCTGGATGTTCACGGGATCATGGGGGCATGGAAATGGTCACGCTCAGACAGTCATGCACCGGCCCTAAATCCCAGGCCATGCAGAGAAAGGAAGAATCCCAACCAGAGTGACCCCAAATGTCCCCTTGTGGCCCAGGAGTGAGTTCCGGCCTGAGTGCTATTATGACTGCTGGCGTCTCTCCAACTGCCTCTCGCCTCAGTTTACCCATCTATAGGTTAGGAACAAAGAAGGGCTCAGGCAGCCATCGTTTCCCCATTTCTGTCAGAGCCAAGGGCTTGGAGGGCCAACCCCATCCGGGCAAGGGCTGTCCTCTCCTGCCCAGGCCTCGCCTTCTCGCTGAGGCTGGCAAGATTCTAGCTGAACAGAAACACTGGCCCCCAATTCCACTCTCCCCTCCTGATGCTACCGCAGGGGGCAGAAAGGTGCCCTGTAGCGTCCACCGTGTGTGTGTCCTGAGTCTCCAGTGCAAGTCATCTGGATTTGCATTTAGCGGGGAACCTCGGCCCCCAACCCTTCTCCCTCTCTGCCTGAATTTGCCAAAATGCCAACCATCCAGGCAGGTGTGGATGCCACAGTCCATCCCCATTGCATTTCACCCCCACATGGACAGAGGCATACATTCACACACATTCCCAGCACCTTTGACTGCTGGGGGAAGCAGGCTGGGGTCTGCCTGGAGCCTCAGGATTGGGACTTATATCCAAAGGAGCCCACACCCCCTCTTCCGGGATAGGCGCTGGTTGGCAGCACTTTTTGCCTTCATCACACCCCTGACCCCTGCCCAGACCACATGCACACGCTGTTTCCTGTCTCCAGGACCCTGACCTGTGGATCTCTTCCTCCCATGCACTCCTAGGGTGAGTGGGCTCAGCACCAAACTTGGCTGTGCCCATTCCCCACGACCCCAGCTTGGCCTCCTGTGGGAAGGGGAAGGTGGACCTGACCAGAGGAGAGGGGCAGTGTTCCCACCCACCTGCCCCAGCACAGGAACCAGGGAGGAAAGAAGGGGGAGGAAGGTTCCATTCACTGTTTTCTGGGTTAGCACTTGATTGGATGTTTCAAGCAAGGGACAAAGTGATGGTGGTTGTATCAGGCTCCTCATGGGCACCGTCACCCTGGAAGGCCTGGGCACCCATGAGAACCTGTGGCCAGCCCTTTTCATCGGCTAAGTTCCCTGCTGTTGTGTGTGGTGTCGTTTTTTTAAAAACAACATATAAAAAAACAAAATAACTGGTTCTGTGTGTATCAACTTAATTTACATACAAATGAGTGTTGTGTTGTGATTTGCAGTGTTTTGACACCGTGATTGGCTTTGTTTGGGTCTCTCTTCTTTCTGTGAAATTAATTGCTGTGCGTTTTTACTGTTCTTAGAGAAGACTCTGAGCTCCTGGAGTTTTCTTGTCTCACTTCTACCCTGACCCGCTGGGAGCCTACCCCACCCCAGTCCAGCCATGAGGGTATTTCCAGCCTATTCCAATGACTGGAACCCTTCTTGGAAGAAAACGTCTAATCTCGGGGACCTAGGGACGCTTCCAGACTTGCCCTGTCTGGAACCCTGCAGCCTGGGGCCCAAGCCCGCCTGCAGCTCAACTTTCCCCTGCACCCTCAGGACCTAGCCCCACAGACCTTCCCTGGGAGCTGCCCACTGCGCCCTCTAGGGGCCAAGCAGGGTTCCAGATTCTCCAGCCTTCTGCCAGCTTTAAAACCCTTCACTCAAGCAGCATTGCTGTACATGCAATGAAAAACACCATATATGATAGTCAAAACCTGTGTACATATCTCCATGTACATATTTATACATACACACACCTTCCTATTATAAATATATAAAGCATGACATCTCTTTGGCATTCCAAGTTTGTGTTTTTTTAAATCCTTGGAAATACGACTTTGGAAACCTTTTTCTTCCTTTCCCTCTTTTCTATGTTGTAATAAACATTCCTGTGACCTTTCTGGTAGTTTATCAAATCCCTGTGTCCTCCCGTGTTCCGAATCGGACAGATCTCTGACTGGGACAACACGCCTTCATCCCACCTCTGCAGCCTTTGCTATTGGTTTGCTTTGCGTTATGAAGGCTGTCCTCCCCAAGGCAGGTCTTGCGTTCTTTCAGACCTTTTTCCCGAATTCCCCTTCTTCCGAAAGGCTTGTGCAAGTTACTCTTCAAACAGTCTCATCTTTGATAATCTGATCCCTTTGCAACCAGGAATTTGCGTGCTAAATCAAGCATCAGGCCCCAGATTGGGTTTACCAAGAATAAGTGTACAGATGCAGCTCATTTCCTGCTCTTAATTGTTAGACTGGTTGATGAGGGAAATGTGGGCAACATACATATTTGACAAAGACTTCTGAATAAATGAGAGTCTGGGTGAGAGTGGTTAGGAGAATGTATAACTACCTGTTCAGTTATAACGAAGGACAGGTGCACCTGGGAGAGAATTGCATCCACAATCCAGCCAATGCCTTCACTCATAATGGGATGAAGACCTACAGAACTTACCAATTTGTGGATAAGGAGAAATAAGTGTATTAGATGAATAAATCAGAATCCCAACATCTCCTGACGGGCAGAGGCAATGTAACACAATGAAATCTAATAGCGTTCAATGAGAGTTGTGTTTGGCATGAAGAAAGCTCCGTGCTTTCCTTCATCCCTGGGGAGTTACTCAACAGGTGGCTCAGTGTTCATCATGGCCTGCTGGGGCTGACAACACAGGCCATCTGGTTTCAGATGCACCAGGAGCTGCAGGCTGGGGTCTGGAATGAAACCGCATCTGCAGCGTTGCATTCAGTGCTGGGTGCCATGGGGGGGCGAGTGCTCTGACAACGAGTGTCCGGGTGTCATTCCTGTCACTCACACCCAAGGGAAGGGCCCCGCCCCACCTCCTGCCATTTTCTCAGGCCAGCCCAGCACCCTTAGGGTCCACTTACCTGGGGAGAGGCTGCAGTCTCAATGGCCTCGATGTTGCTGTTGTCCAAAAGAGTGAATCATCTTCAAAGCACAACCTTTGGTGAGACTTGAAGCTCTACTGCAATGGCCTCTCCAAGGCCCCAGAAATGGTATCTGTGCCTAAGGTTGACTTCAGTCGCTGCTAAGACCAGGATCTAAAGCCCAAGGCAGTACAATGACCCAAGGCACTCTCAGAGTTCCCCAGACACTCTAGGGAGCATTTTGTGATCATTTGCATTGTCCAAATACTCAATATGCTCAGATTAAACCAGAATGCTCCTGGCTGGAGGATTCTTCTGCAGTCATTCAGCTTCAGAGGGGCTCATGAGAAGGCACAATGGGAGATAGAGTTAGCTCTCCTTCCAGCACTGCCAGGTGAAGGGAGGAAACCCTTGGCATGCACTAACATTCCCTCTCTTCTCCCAGCACCAAGTCTCTTAACCTCAAGAAGGGTGACGTGCGTTGAGCCAGCCACTGCCTTTCCGCTGGGGGGTGAATAAGTGTTCCCTACCGACGGAGTTCTCCTCAACCCCAGAAGGAAAGGGCTGTGACAAACACGAAGGCATCTGCTCCCCACAACTCCCTACACCCTAGACCCTAGGCCCTGGGAGAGGCTCATGCTTGCCAGTGGCAGTCACAGGAAGGGACACATGAGGATGTGCAGGAGACAAAGGGCTCGAGGAGGTGGGAAGGCAGTGCTTCGGTTTGAGGATGGGGTTGCCGATGCATTCCTCAGAGGAGGAGTGGGGCCCAAACCTGGTGCAGTGAGAGTCCCAGGCGGGGGACCCCGGGAGGCAAATCAGTGCAGGCTGCATGTTGGGCCACCGAACCCAGAGGATGGGTCTTCATTCCCAAGAGGACCAAGATGAACATTTCTGGGCTCCTAATACCAAGTCAGACTCTGAGTAAAGCCTTAGGGAAGGGTCATGAGACCCAAGATTCAGTTTATATAGAACACGTCAGGAAAAACTTGGGGTGATAATGTTGCAGGACTTTTCCTTAGTTCAGCCATGAAAATTCAGGCTCACAGACAATTTGAATGGTGAGTGAGACAGGGTTTTATTGGGTGAAAAGGAAGAAAAGGGGGAAACGGAGTCTCACTAGGCTGGAGTCCCTGCCAGAGCGCTTCCTGGGCACGGCTTGAGTACCAGGTTTCACACAGGAAAGAGGGGGCAAGGCTCCTCCCTACTGCAAACATCATGAACTTCCTGAGTGAGGCTCCACCTCACTGTGCAGGCCGGCTGGAGTTTCTGCAGGGACCCCCTCCCACCTGGCTCTCTCATTTCCCCTCTAAAGACGTTCACCTAACTGCCCTTAGATGAAGGATAAGGATGAAGACCGATCTTAATGGCTTCCTGCTGATAGGGGGCATTGTTTTTGGGAAATGGCAGTCAGAGCTCCCTCAGATGCCTGTCTAAGGCTTCCCAGCAGAAGAGGCCATCATCAGAGGCTCTGGTTGCATGACTGTTTGGAGTCGGAAGGCCTGAAGGCAAGAACAGACAAACAGGGTCATTGGAAAACATGTAGCAAAACAAAACAGGCCGGGCGCGGTGGCTCACGCCTGTAATCCCAACACTTTGGGAGGCCGAGGTGGGTGGATCACCTGAGGTCAGGAGTTTGAGATCAGCCTGGCTATCACAGTGAAACCCGGGCTCTCTACTAAAAATGCAAAAATTAGCTGGGCGTGGTGGTGCATGCCTGTAATCCCAGCTACTCGGGAGGCTGAGGCAGGAGAATCACTTGAACCCGGGAGGCGGAGGTTGCAGTGAGCCGAGACCATGCCACTGCACTCCAGCCTGGGCAAAAAAAAAAAAAAAAAGGAAACAAGGGGAGGGGTAAGGACAGCTCAAAAATTCTGAGACCTTTTACCAGTTTGCACAGGGAGAGGGAGGCCAAAAGCCCGACTGGCAAAAACTGGACCCTTTTGCTAGCATGTTGGGCTTCTGAGTGCCCTTCCCCTGAGCCTAATCCTAAGCCAAACAGTTTAAGGTTTGGGAAATTAACTCTTTCCAGTTCGCAGGATGCACCTGAGGGAATCGTCCCATAGTACGGAGACACAATTACCTATCAGTGAAGAGAGGACAGAGGAGAAGAAAGGAGAAAAGAAGACACCTTTTAAAGGAGTCCCAGGGGTTCAGGGTACATTTGAAAGGGGTACAGACTGCAGATGAATGGCTACCCATCTGGAAAGAGGGGAGCAGGTGTCCCTGGTTCCCTTCTCTTCCTAGCAGATACTCGGAGTACATGAGAACGTCCTCTTTCCCTCTTCCATCATTGCATCCCCAAGTCCTGGTGACCTTGGCAGGTGCCACCATGAGTGCCAAAGGGGCTTGCACCCATGAAGCAGGGAAGGCCTAGAGAATAGGAATTATCTGCTGTCACCTATGCCTCTATCTCCTACTGTCAGTAGCCTTGGGGTTCCCTAGACCTCATTTATGACATAGATTTATCCATGAAACAGGAAGCTTGGGGTTGGCTTAATTGGCAGGAATGAGCCACGCTCACCTGCACTGTGCCTTTTAACCTCTGTTGTCATTTGTCTCTGGATCCCTCAGATCCAGTTTTCCTTCCTAGGACTTTGACCCAAAGCTTGGAATTGAGTTTGGGACAAAAATGTGTCTTGGGGGGTTGCATGGACTCCTTATCACAAGCCAAATGCTAAGGTGAAACTGTGGAATTGAGTCCTCCTCTAACAATGGAGAGAAAAAGATGTCTTGTGACACAACCAGATAACTGGTGGCTATAGTAATGCTTGTGAGGGTTTGGCTGCATGGTGCTTGGCTTTGGTTAGCTTTCTTGGTCTTACTTTCCCAAAAAGGAAACCTCCAAGTGATAGGCATCCTATTTATTCCAATCACCTGGCAGGACTTGCAGGATAATTGCTCAGAGTTAGAATATTGATCCAGATTTCTACATTATCCATGCCTTTTTTCTTTCTGAGCTGCAGCTGGAGATTGCTGGTTGGTTCACAGGAGCAAGCAGGGTTAGTCTAAAATGTAGGTGAAAACTTAAAAACAACCAATGAGTTTAGAATTTAATGACAAATGTATAATAAGTTTTGAAACATGATTTCTCTCTCTCCAGTCCTCATTTTTGTTAAAAAAAATAACCATAGGACTGAATGGTTTGCAAAATAGACTTTAGTCTTACACTTGGCCTGATTAATTGCATAAAGTGCAGCAAGAATAATTATTTCTACACAGGCCTTTTGGATTGGCTTTGATGCGAGTTTGTTCCACAAGGAATCTCAGACAAGACCTTTTAAAGCTGAGCCCAACCATGGGTTTGTATCCTCAAACAACTGTGAATTCACCTTAAGGTCCCAAGATAAACTTGGAGCTCCGGGACCTGTTAGAAAGTGACATTCTTTCTTCCTTTTGAAAAGAATCAAAACAAAACATCCAGGGTAGTTACAGTTAGAAACACAATTGACACAGTTTGGTTATCTTCGTGGTTTACAATAACTTAAAACACCAACCTTAATTATGATTGATAGCATATACTCAGACATTAGAATCTTAGAAATCCCATACAATTTTGGAACATATATCAGTATTCACAAAAGTATAACCTAAAGAAGACTGAAAATCATTTTGGCAAACCCAGGTACCTAAACATGCCAAATAATCCTGTTTACTTCTTTTTTGGGATGTTTCAGGGGCCCTCTGAACCATCTGAAAAGCCAGGTATCAGAAAAGACAATTTTGAAACTTAAGTTTGATTTCGAGAAGCCTTTTAAATACATTTAAAGCACCTGATACTGTGAAATAGAGTTCCAGATTACCACAAACTATTTTCTCAAAATGATGACTCAGAAATTTTAAAGAAGCAAAAGCTTTTTATAACCCTTTTACATTTAGTCAACATGTTCACACAGAGAACCTCTTCTGCAAGATTAATTTCCACAGCTTTTCCACCACTTGTTTGAACCTTCAGCTTTCCCTATCTAACTCAAAATAATCCTTTAACCCTAGGCAAATGTGTACATGTCCATGTCTTCTTATAACCTTTTACATAAAAATCACATTTTACTCTTCTTACACCCCTTGCATGTAAATCTATTTTTGGTAGTTTCAATTACATGTCATAATTGTAACTCCTAGCAATTTTTAACTTTAAGGTAAAACTTGGTAAGTTGAATTGTGTGCTAACTGCAGTCAAGGTTTGCCGTCTTAGTTAAGGGCCTGGTTAGTTCCATATGTCCCCAAGCCTTACCAGTTATGAAGCCGGCAAGTCAAATAGTTCTCAAAACCCAAAAAGCAGTTCATAACCTGAAAACACTTAGCAAACTTTGCATCTGACCTGCATTAATAATCTTCACAGCTGTTTTTATTTCTCAAAGATTAAAGTCACATGAACTGAAAGGTACCACAGATTTTATATTCCCTTTGAAAAATATTTGATCCAGGCTGGCGCGATG